TAGGCGAGCTTCGTGCTGCTTCTGCTGCTGCAGGCTCCGCGCGCTGCTCCGCCTGGCTGACGAACCGGCTCAAGAAGCCGCAGCCCCAGATGCCGCCCAGCAGCACGACGGCCATATACCTGCAGCCAGCACATCACACAGACCCCTAGCTAGCCAGCTAGCTAGCTAGCTAGCTAGCTATCCATACAGCTACCCAAGTAGCTAGCTAGCTAGCTACTCAGCTGGCCTGGCTCCTAGCTAGCCAGGCATGTGCCTAGCTAGCTAGCTAGCCACTTGACTGCCTACGCCTACGCTGCCTCTAGTACAAGCTAGCCAGCAGCTAGCTATCGATGGACTAGCTAGCCAAGGACTGCAGCAAGCGAAGCAGAGGAGCTCAATAAGAAAAGAAGAAAAGAATAGAAAGGGGCAGCTCACGTCGCCTCTGCAGCAAGCGGATGATACAGCACAACGTTCACCGCCACCACCGTAGCAACCGTCAGCGGCGGGAAAGCCACAAACAACGGCCAACACCACGAAGAGCTAAGCCACACACAAACAGCCAGCAGCAGCAACACACACAGCAGCACATGCAGCAACACACACAGCAGCACATGCAGCAACAAAAACTGCAGCAAATGCTGCAGCAAATGCAGCAGCAAATGCAGCAGCAAATGCAGCAGCAAATGCAGCAGCAAATGGAACTTGGTGAACACGGGGGGGCTACCAACAGCAACAGCAACAGCAACAGCAACAGCAACAGCAACAGCAGCAGCAGCAGCAGCAGCAGAAGCAGGAGCAGCAGCAGCAGCACAGGGCCACAAGGCGAAGCTATCGCCTCGAGCACTGCCCTACAGAAGCCGCGCAGAGCTGCTAGTCGCCGCCGCCTCAGCAGCATGAGCCGCAGCAGAAACAGCAGCAGCAGCAGCAGCAGCAGCAGCAGCAGCAGTTGGTGCTCACACGCCTGGGGGTAGGTCTGCAAGAGAGTAGGCGACGGCGCCGGAGACGGTAAGAAGCAAAATTGTGATGAAGACACACACGCCCAGCAGCTCATGAAGGCCGTTGCATTCCCTGCCAGCTGCTGCTGCAGCAGCAGCAGCTGCTGCTGCTGCTGCTGCATGCCGCGTGTCGAGGGAAGTAGTTGCAGCAGCAACAG